GACTTAATGGAAAGTGGTTTTATCTCATTTGGTAATAATATGCATTTGATAACCACTGTGGCAGTCTTCATCCTAGAGTCACAATGCAGTCAATGAATTAGAAAAAAATTATTCCAAGGGTAAAATTCAGCCAAAGGTGTTTATATAGGCAATGACCTTTCTCAGTTTGTCAAGTAAGTTAAAACATGGCATTTGTGTAACAGTTAATGATAGTGTGCTACAATGACGACAGTTTCACATGGAGCACTTTGTAAAGTCCATCCTGACTTTTTCAATCTGCCCAAAGGCAAAGTTTTCCTTGCCTCCACCAAGTGTTATGAGTTACATAATCAATCTCGCAATATACCTTTATTCCAAAGCTAGTGACTGGTCATTTTTTAAGCTTTGTAAACTGCTCTGTTGTTTATTAAACATGAAATGTCAGGTCTACAACCATAATGTTTTAAGGGTTTGTTTGGTTTTGGTTTGGGTTTTTTTGGTGTTTTGTTTTGTTTTGTTGTTTGGTTTTTGGTTTTTTTTTTCTGTAATATGAGCAGTAGATTCTTCCAAAATCCTCTCTGCTAGACAGATGACATGGAGGGATGTTCTCTGATGACAGTAACATTTCCTTTTGGCCATACTGTCTTCAAGACACCATTGTGTGGCAAGAGAGATACTGTCCAGGAGAAAAGAGTTCCTACCCTTGAGCTATGCTACCTTGGACAGACCTCTGTTGCACCAATCTGCACATGTGCATTAGTCTCACAGTGACTACAGTGGTTGCTCAGCAAGACCTATCAGGCTGGCTGGAAACTGGTGGTACTCCTTTTTACAAATCCGTCCTGAGTGAAAGCAGAACAGTTCAGTGGGTTGCAGCACTGTCCATGTTTCAGTGGTTAATACATCCAGTATTTGATTTCTGATGTTAGTGATCCATGCAAGCTTAGAGAAGGTGTACTGTCCTGTTAGAAGGTGTCAATAAAACCAAAATCAAATAGCAGGCTTGCAAATTGAGCTTAGGATACCTTTCTGTAGAAATATAACTGCTTTGGATCATTTAGATAGTTGGAATGATGTTTGTTTCCAGCGATCTGAGAAAAAATGTGGAAATATGCAGCCTCCTGAGGTGGGAACAAGAGCATCATATTAATGATATTCATGCTCTGTGGTTGGCTGAAGTTCTTGCTGAATATCTCTGGCCCAGGTTCTCAGGGGTAAATATCTCATGTGTTTGCTGGCCTGAGTGGAGCTATGTTATTTTTTACTGGCCGCTTCTGAGGTATCCAAATTTGAATAAGAATGAAATTGTTAGAGATTTATCAAATCTGACAGATGAAATAAATATGTTAATTTCAATCAGCTGATGAGTAGTTCTGTATTTAACAATAAATGCTTAGACTACATTATTGCCTGATGTACCTACCAAGTTTTCAAATACTCTGCTGAGCGGTCAGAAGGTGACTCCATCAGTGCATAGAGAGACTGCAAAATGATGTTTTGTCTGTGTTTTGAAACCTATAAAAAACCCAACAATTTTATTTGACTCATTACAGCACATTTGCTTGGTCCATAGGTTTAGTCTTCTACATATATTGGTAACAGTATCTAAATGCAGTTATACGTTAGGGACGGTTTTGAGTTCTAAATCTTGAGAATATTCTAGAGCTGGAAAGTTCCTTTTTATCACTTTGCTCTTTCTTCTTAACCTCAGCACTTTCTTTATATCACCTGACTTTTTTTGATGGAAGATGTAAAATCAAACAATTTGAAGATGAATCCTTCATCTAACTTGAAGCCCCTCTTTCTTCCTAATTTCCTACTGTATGTACACAGATGTTCTGACAGAAGGACATAGGACCTGGTGTAGAATTAGGCCTGCTTGTAAAAAATAATATGTGGCAAATTCCTGTATCTCCATAACAGACTGTTTACTAATGAAAGGCAAGAGTTTACCCTAAATGGCACTGAGTAAGCAAGTGGTAGGCCATGATTTCTGCCTGGTTTTGTTAGGTTTTGTCTCCTATCTGATGTTGGCAGGACTGTTTTATTTGTCTGATGTAGCTTATCATATATCACAAGTTCTTTGAAGAAAGAGCTGATACTGTTGAGGTCTGTAAAACAAGAAAGCTGTAAGCTTGCTAATTCTTGATCTGTGTCCATAAGCAACAAAAATGCAAATAAAACCTCTCAAAGTGCATATGAATTTGGTAAGTGACAAAAGGAAGAAAGGAGGAGAAATACAATCAGAATTGAGGGCAGGGGCAAACCTTAGTGTATTTTTTATCTTCCTACTCTGAACTTTTAAGGCTAGCCACTCCCAACAGCTGGTTCAAACCAGAAATTATAGTTGAGATATTATTTACCTGTGTTAAGTGAAACAGCCTTTGGGGATGGGTGTGCAGCTTGATTGACAAGCAAGATGGTCAGCTACAAGCCCTGTAGACCTGCACTAACATACTCTTGCAGTATCAAAACCCACTCTTGAGTAAGAAGAAGAAACAATACCAGTTAATGGTGGGCACAAGTGAGCAGCTTGCTGAGGTCCTCTATAAATAGAAACAAACATGTGGGTCTCAGAAGGGAGAGAGCTGCCTACAAGGAATGGTTACAGGACTAGGGAAGCCCTGTAAGTTACCTCTGGTTAAAGGATGTGCAGCCATAAGGCTGCAGCCTGTGGCAACTGAGAGTTCATTTGTCTGGGAAGGAACCCTCCCCAGAAGGACAAAACTAAACAGTGATACAAACCAGCACTGCTAGTGAGATAAAGCCTGTAGGGAGACATGTGACCTGAGACATTGGAGTTGGTGTGGAAGTTGCTGAGGCATCCTATTTCAGATGGCCTAGAGTTGTCTACTTGTTCCTTTTCATTTTCTCTGGTATGCTCCAGTCTTTACAGAGAAATCATCTGTTGCTCCATGATTTCATGTTTTGAACCACATGTAACGTAGAGGAGGCAGGGGGTATTAACTTG